TATATTTTTTTACCTAATTAATTTATCTCTGTCTATATTTATTAAGTCAATAAGAATAAAATTAGAAAAAACTCACTAATAATAACTTATACTTAGAAACAAACTTTTTTTTTGGCATTATAAGGGGAAAAAATCCTTTTTTTATTCTGAAAAAGAAGGTTCCCCCAGAGATCAACATGACCTGCCTCAATTTCGTTTGGATGCAAATACATGGAGCAGAAGAACCTTCTTATTGGGATCAAACGAGTGAATGCGTTATTCCACACAGAGAGAGAGAGAGAGGGTTGAGAGCAGAGCACACTATCAAAGTGGACTTTTACGCCATGTTGATGTTTGTTGACAGTTGTTTGTCCTCTTTTCTATAAATTTTCAGGAGGCAAACAAACAAAGAGAATAGCTATCGTCGCTCTGTTTGTTTGTGATTGGTCATCGGTAAGTTCAGTTTTAACTGAAGTTGACCAAGTCTCCCTAAGCCTAAGCTTATCTCATGGCTGTCAATCACTCCCCACCTGGGAGACGCCACTGTGGACTGAAGAGAGGATAAATATCATTTGGGGTGAGAATCCGATTCGCCAGCTCTTCAATTTTTGAAGAATCTCCATGGATGATGATCAGAGTGTGGATTGGTCTTGTCTTCCGGAGGAACTATGGCTGATGATCGGAAAATGCTTCACCAGTAATATCGACCTTCTCCGATTTCGCTCTATCTGCAAGTCATGGCGTCGTTCCTCTCTTATTCCCCCTCTCGCAGTTCCTCCTATCTTCACCCCAACAATCGCCGCCTCTTCTGGCCAACTCTTACTCACCCCCACAACAATCTACCGTCTCGAACCTTCCGATCTCTCCAAAGCTCTTTCAACTTCTTCTTCCTCCAAAGCCTGGTTGATCAAGGTTGACGAATCCAGCTATCGCCGGCTCTGTCTCTTGGACCCTTGCACAAACAATCGACTCTCCCACTTCCGTTCGTGGTACCCTTTTAACTCTTTCCCTAAGGGGTTGAATCTATTGAACTTTCGATTCGTCGAACTGGTCAAAGCATATTCTATCTCATTAGATGGTTCTGGTTTGACGTTTCGTCGTTTCCATCACGAGATCAGTGGGAAAGTAGTAACGTTCCCCAATTTTGCTGGGACCCAGTTGGAGAATTGCAAGTTCTTTTATGTACATAGGGATGGAAAACTAGGGTTTTCAAAAATTGGGGATGATGAATGGACTCTTGTGGATGATAAGAACTCCTATTACGATGACATAATTGTTCATAAGGGTCAGCTCTATGTAGTAGATAGATGGGGAACCATTTCCTGGATTGACTGTTCTTCTTCTTCCTTAAAGTTGGTTCAATTTTCTCCTCCATTGTGTGGTTTGGGTAAGAAGAAGCATTTGGTAGAATCATGTGGGAGTCTATATGTTGTTGACATGTATGCTGAAGGAGATCCTAACAACTCCAGAGGAACGTACTATGAGGTGGTTGATTTGAAAGTATACAAGCTTGATGAAGAATGGGGTAGATGGTTGGATGTGAAAAGCTTGGATGAGCGTGTGTTTGTTTTGGGTAAAGACTGTAATTTCTCTCTTTCAGCTCGAGACTACCATGGATGTGAAGAGAATTGCATCTACTTCTGTTACAGAGGCTGTGCTTCTATGTTCAACTTAGGAACTTCTACATTTTGCTCTCCCAAGGTCTTCTGGCCTTGCCCAACTCTGTTCAACTATGGTGGATGTGTTTGAGAAAAGTTCTTCGTGAACTCCATTGGTCTTATAGTCTTCCTCCTCAATAAGAACTTTGTTGCAGGGGATCATTTTTCTTGGGGGCTGTAGTTTGGATTCCGGAGAGGAACCGAATGAGGAAAAATGACAATAGGTTCAAGTTAAAAGCTTGGACAATATAGGGCTAAGTGCGTTGGTGATGGTCGCACTTGAAGAGTTTCGTGGATGCATGCAAGAATAATAGCATTTAATGCGCAGAAGATATATCATCCTTTTAGACTTTTTATTTGTATCGATTTTAGATTTGTCTGTGTGTGTGTGTAATGGTTTGGATCTTAATTTTTTAAATATTAATGACAATGGTTTTTTAGTGCATCATTGTAATTGTAACTGTACTCCTATACAATAAAACTAGTTTTTGACCCCATGCATCATATGATTGAAACCTCCGAACATTATGAGGAAAAAACAACCGAAAGTGTAGTAATGCAAGAAAAGGAAGTAATTCAATTAAATGTGAAAAACTATGATCTTACATGTTGCTCCTAACATGATTTGGTCATCCTACAAAGGTAAGTGGGTGTTTGGTAATCACAAAAAATAGTTTTAAAAGGTTTTTTCATATAAGTTAAGATAAAATTCTTCTCATATACTTAGGGTATGTTTGGACTAGAGGCGGTAAAATTGACTTTTATTTTAATTGATTTTTGTAAACTTAAGTTAGGATAAAGTCAGTTTGTGTAATATAATTTATATTTGGATTGACGTTTATAAAAAGTTAGTTTAAAAGGTTGAAACTTGTTTAGATAGATAATGAAAAAGTAAGTTTAGATATAAAATGACTAAAAATGACATAAGTTTTGTTAAATAATTATGTATATAATGTGATAATTCTAAGAAAAATATTAAAATTAAAATTATAAAGATAGTCAATATAAAGGTCTCAATCTATTTTGTATATAATATTTATCTATTTTGTTCCCAAATAATTTTTATGGTGATTACACACTAAGGAGTTTTTATTGATGAGTAGTTTTAATGCATATGATTAACAATTATATTTTAGGCAAGACATCATCAATTTATTATAAATAGCTAATTTCACTAATTTTTTAATATCCCCAAATTAGATATTTAGTTCTTATATTAAGGATAGATAATACTCATTTGGTCCTATTTATAAGGCAGAAAGAAAAGACTTTTCTTAGTTCTGTTTATAAGTCAATTCATTAAATTTTTAGCATGAATTTACTATTTTTTTTATTTATTATACTGTAAATAGTTTTTTTTAAATATGCATACATTAAATAGGAATAAAATTAAAAAGTTGTTATATTTAATGCAATTTAAGATTTTTTTTAGTTTGTATGAAACATATTAAAAGTATCTTATAAATAGAACCAGAGAAATATCAAATTATTAAATTTGTTAGGAGTAATTTTGTCCCTTTCTCATTGTCATATTTTCTCTTTCCACGGTGCGTTAGTAAATCTCCTTGGATTTTTTTGGACCAAAAAAAAAAAATCTCCTTGGATTTGCTTCAGCATTGAAATGGCATTTTACGCCAAAGCTCATTTAGATAAAAGCTGGCCCAAACGTGTTGAAGCCTCCACCTGCCAAGAACGTACGTTTGCCTTCTGAGGCACGTTTTGAAAACGTGAATCCAAACACCATGTTATTTGATATATTATAAAATTACATTTAAAATTATGATTTGATTTTTTTCCTAATACTCTTTTTAAGTGTGAATGTATATTAATCGTTTGCATAAAATATAAATGTGTGACGCTGGTGTGGCAGGGAGAGTGGGAATTATTATTTGTTGCCCTCAGTCTCTTGAATTACTTGTGCGCTATTCTGGCTTGTACTACTTAAAAAAAACCAAGCAATTATATAACATTACTTTTTATACTCAATATAAGAGCTAGTGAAGAATTAAATTTGATCTTAATTTTAAAATCAAAATTTTATTATATTTTTTTTTCAAATTTATAATTTTTCTTCAAAATATCCTTATCAATTGTACATATCTTAATATTTTTAAATTGATGATTTAACACTTGTATTGAGCTTCGGAGCTAGCGGTTGCATGGGTTCTAACGTGGTTGGGCTAAGAGCACGCTTGTGTTTTTAAACTCGATAAAGTGACAATAGAGAAGTCGCATGAATGGCTCTATGTGAATAAGAGGATAAACAAAAGAACTAGGTCTCTGTTTTAATAAACAAGAAAAAAATTATAATTGGAAATTATTATCATCGGGAACAAAATGAAAAAGGGGCGGTCAAAATTTTGTAGAATAGTTTGATCTGCAAGTTACAAATTATAACAAAGGTTTTGGGTGCCATAAAACTGAGGTTTTTATCAAAATACTACACTGTAGAAGCTATTTACAAATATGCTGTATTTTTGAGAAACTGGCAAAAACTGGTTGTGATGAACTTCCACGATATCTAGTTTTTTAAAATTAAAAAGATGGACTTGTTCCACGCTCTTTCTTTTATTATTAAAAAACTCTTTTTTATTTTTGGAGAATATTACAACTATAGCCTCGATTTCATCAGCACATCCCCATGCCTTTTGAATTTTAAAAGAAATTACAATTAAATGAATTATTTATCCGATTCCTTCGTATCCACTCCTTCCACTTTAATTTTTTTTATTCTATATCTCTTTCTAATTAGGAAAAAAAAACTTAGGTCAAGTACCTTATATTAATTATGTTAAGTTTTTCAATCATATATATCCATGTGTTCTTTTTTTGTTTTATATTGATTTATAATTAAATGTTATTTAATGCTAATATTTTAAAAATAGGACACATAGTCATGTGTAATTAGAAAATTTAATATCATAAATATAATAAACTTGATGTAAGTATTGTCATTAGAAAAAAATATGAGTAGATTTTATAAAAAGGTTACTTTCTATTCTGATATTTAAATTTAAAAAAATATATGTGAATTAAATAAATATAAAATATTTGTAGATACACTTATCTAATATACACACTCCTCTTATTAATAATTTCGAGGGTTACTTGCTTGTAACAAATTCAGAGCATTACTTATAATATCTGAAAAAAAATTATATTTTTATAAATATAATAGAAGATTATTCATATTTATAAATTCAAAGATTACTAATTTGTTATATTTTATAATTAAAAATGATTGCAAATATATATGTTTATATTTTGAAATGTTGAATTTTGTATCTTTGAAGAGCTCCAAAATTTTATGAGAGATCCTCAGATGACATTGCGCTGTGTCCACCACCCTACATTTTCAATTTGAATCGTACATCCGATTCTGCTGTTTCCTTCCTCTTCCCTATTTCGGTATTTCCCATTCTTTGCTTAGGGGTTTTCCTGATCTCAATCATGGCGGAAGACTCCGTACCACCGCCTCCATCTTCATCTTCCTCTTCTGCTCCTCTTGGCTCCTCCGTGATCTCGATAGTCAACAAGCTTCAGGATATCTTCGCTCGGGTCGGGAGCCAGTCCACCATCGATCTTCCCCAAGTCGCCGTTGTTGGCAGCCAGAGTAGTGGCAAGTCCAGTGTCCTCGAGGCTCTTGTCGGCCGCGACTTCTTGCCTAGGGGTAATGATATTTGCACCAGGAGGCCTCTGGTGCTGCAGCTCGTGCAGACTAAGAGGAAGCCCGATGGCACTGAAGAGGAGTACGGGGAGTTCCTCCACTTGCCCGGCAAGAGGTTCTACGATTTCTCCGAGATTCGAAGGGAGATTCAGGTTCATCATCATATGTAAAAGTTGTATACTTTTTTTTTTTTCCCGGTTTGTTTTAGACCGGCGGTGCTAAAATATGAGGTTGCTTCTGTTTAGTCGCTGGGAAATAAATAAGTTTCAGTGTAGGATGTTAGGTGGAACTGAATTTTTTAGCATTACAAGCTACGATTTACTGTTTAGGAGATAGAATTTGTTGTTATTCGATTTGAGAAGTTTGTTCCTTAATGAGTTTAGGTGCTTCCGGACCTGGAGTGTAGTTTGACGCTCTCTTTAAGTTATGATCGTGCGTAGTTTTGTTCATCTTACATTACATCTTACAATTATGAATTATAGTTTGTTCCTCTGGAGTGAAATTGAATTTGCATTGGCTATGATAGTGAGGAAAGAGTTTTTTTCCATCTTCAATGCCAATCGCACAGTCCCCATTTCACGCGTTATGACAGCTCAACATGTTTTGCCCCTTGGTCTGGCTGCATGAAAGTGGAATATGTATAATTTGGTTAGAGACAAGCTTGTGGGGGGGGGGGGGGATACGAAATAGGAGTTTTTCAATTCTTAAGTATCTGGGCTTGTTTTTATAATATTCTTTACTTGATTTCAGACTAGCTATCCCCAGGCCCTAACATATGCACTTAAAAATTTATATTGGAAATCATAATATCCTTATATTCATGGATGAGAAAACTGTGATAGTTTATGCCTCAACTTTATGTTGAAGTAGCTCTCCGGATAATTCATTTTGTTTGATAGTAACTTCTTTTTCTTTTTCTTTTTTTAAAGGCTCAGCTTTCCCTGTGCTGCTTATATAATGGAGCTATTAGATAATCCTATTGTTGCATGACTTTGGACTGAGCTGAAGCCTTGTTTATGGCTTTCCTATGTGTTTGGTGCAGTTTAACTTTATGGTTTCACTGTGGAATGGAGAAATCCATACCTCAAAATTGTAGATACTGTTATATCTTTCAACCATGATTATCGTCTATATTCCAAGAAAAGGTTAGCTTGAGTGAGATTTATGCTAAACCAAATGTCTAGTCTTGGAATTGACCAGAACTCCGGCTAGGTGTAGACAATTTGATACTGATCATTGCGTGTTCATGGATATCTAGCTGAAAGTTGGTTTCATTAATTTATGGCATCCAATATTCTATCATGTAGTGGTGACAGTTTATTTTAGAGGTTTAATAATACCCGAGTTAAAGATATACGTTCTTGATTCTTGTTCAATGGGTTTCATGGTTCAGATTATTTGCATGTCATAACATTTGTCACTCAAATTTTAATGCACTAATTAGGTAGCATTAGTTTAGTCCCTAATTGACTTGGTTATTTTCTTAATTGTTTAACATTATATTCAATTCAATGTAGGCTGAAACTGACAGGGAAGCAGGAGGGAATAAAGGTGTCTCCGACAAACAGATACGTCTCAAGATTTTTTCACCAAATGTTCTCGATATTACACTTGTGGATCTACCTGGGATTACAAAGGTTCCTGTTGGAGACCAGCCTTCTGATATTGAAGCTCGAATCAGAACAATGATTATGTCATACATTAAAACTCCCACGTGTCTTATTCTTGCTGTCACACCAGCTAATTCAGATTTGGCCAACTCAGATGCTCTTCAAATGGCAGGAGTTGCTGATCCTGATGGCGAGTTCTTGATTTCATATGCCTAAAACAATGGTCTTTTTATCTTATCTATCCAGTTGGTTTTTACAAATTCATTTTTCTATTTCAGGCAACAGAACAATAGGAGTAATCACAAAGGTACACTATACTCTGCCTATGGATTCATTAGTTTTTTCCGTTCTTTCTTTCCTTGTTTTATATTTTCTGTTTCCCTTTCTGATTAATTTTGCAAATATTCCTTGAAAATAGTTGGATATCATGGACAGAGGCACTGATGCCCGGAATCTGTTACTTGGGAAAGTCATTCCCCTCCGACTTGGTTATGTGGGTGTTGTTAATCGTAGTCAGGAGGTAATGATATTTTACTTTGATTAACATGGTTCTTAAGGTTACCCAAGTTTTGCTTCAGCATGTATTCTGGTAGATTTTTTGTTGGAAAGTGATCACTGGCTATGATTCATAAGAACGCTGTTACAAACAAATTTGCGTCTATTTCTCGTAGATTGGTAGTTGAATCTAGGACCTATACCCAACTTTGCATATGTTGGTTACTTGTGCTGCTTGAAGGTCAACATGTGATGCTGAAACCTGATTTGTCTGTTGTTTTATTCATTCAGGATATCCTAATGAACCGAAGTATAAAAGATGCCCTTGTTGCTGAAGAGAAATTCTTTCGTAGTCGTCCAGTAAGCATTAGCATTGATTTGTTAAATTCAAGACTTCTGTCTATCTATATATTATTTATTAGTTTGTGCTGTCCTCAGATATACAGCGGTCTAGCAGAGAGCTGTGGTGTTCCTCAGTTGGCAAAGAAATTAAATCAGGTAAAGATTTGGCAACATTGGCTGCCTACATTTTCTTTTATTATTCATTTTTCTGTTTCATAGTTCCAACTACAGCTTTTGCTCACTCATGCTGTGGCACAGACCCTCTGTCCCCAAACATTCTCCTTTTTACACTGTGATGTCTAGACTTTTCCTGTCAATACGTGCGTGAGACTAAGTACTTTCTTCCTTGGTGTCTCATGATGTTATCTTTTACTTTTACAGAGAAGAGAGAGAAGAAAAAGTCAAAGGCTTGCTTCTAATTCCTTCAACTTATATTTGCAATGCCTTAGGAAATATTCTTTTAACTGTTTCTATTATTCATTGAATAAAGAAAAAGGCAAAGGAGAAGAGGGAGAGATGAAATGAAGAACTTTATTGGCGGCTTTATTCTATGCCTAAAATTGTTGCTTTAGGCTTATTCAATTAAACGATGATGATCAATTTCATAACTTTCTCAAAGCAATGCATGTCATGTAAATGTTGAAGAGGGAAAAGAGGTAGGAGATTATAGGGAATATACAATAGGAGGAGATACAATCTTTGATACTTCTTAGAAAGTAAAGCATTTATATGCTTTGAACATTTCAGTATGGTAGTTTGGGACTGTCAAACTAAAGCATGTCAACTGCTTCTTACATCTACTTGCAGATTCTAGCCCAGCATATAAAGGCTGTTCTGCCAGGGCTGAGAGCTCGTATAAGCTCTCAACTGGTATCTGTTGCAAAGGAACATGCAGGCTATGGAGAGATCACGGAGTCCAAGGCATGTATCAGTATTTGGTTACGTCCCTATGACATTTTAAATATACTTTATAATTGTTGCTGTAACTAAAAAGCAATATATCATCTAACTTGGCTGGGGACTTACCTTATTCTATTTATAATTATAATCCTTTATCTTAACAGGCTGGTCAAGGTGCTCTTCTCCTAAATATTCTTTCAAAATATTCTGAAGGTACCTAACTATCCCTGTTGTCTGGTCTGTCGTCTCCTCTTTAATCCTTTTGTTGTGAACTTAGCTATTTCTCTTCTCTTATATTTGTCAAGCATGTAATTCACAATTTTTTTTTTGGTGAACAGCATTTTCCTCCATGGTAGAGGGAAAGAATGAGGAGATGTCAACATCTGAATTATCTGGTGGAGCAAGAATTCATTATATTTTTCAGAATATATTTGTGAAGAGTTTAGAGGTATATATTTTTGTATATTACATTGTCTTCTATATTTTTTAAGGAAATCATTTCTTTTTTCTTTTTCTTTTTGAATGAAAAAAGGTGTGTTACTGCTGGGTTGTAAAAGGGCAGGTGGATGCATGACCCATTCCTTTCTTTCCACCTATACTTTATCCTTCGATTTGAGTGTTAGCTAATCCAACCATTAGCTGATTACATGAATTACTGCAACACAACCTGCAGACATATTTCTATCTGGAAATGCAGCCACATTTCTTTGAAGCTTGTTTGTCTGCGGAGATGTAACTTTGTATCTTGCAGGAGGTGGATCCATGTGAGGACTTGACTGATGATGATATTCGAACTGCTATACAGAATGCGACTGGGCCTAAATCAGCATTATTTGTTCCAGAAGTAGGTCTTTCACCATCTTTTTTATATGATATAGCTGAATCCAAATTGTGCACTAATGTAAGTTTTTCCACAACTCAAGAATATCAGTGCTTGTATTTCTGTTAAATTAGGTACCATTTGAAGTCCTTGTGCGAAGGCAAATAGCTCGTCTATTAGATCCAAGCCTTCAGTGTGCAAGGTTTATATACGATGAGTTGATGAAGGTAGGGTCTTATAGTCCTCTCTATGGTCTCACCTGATTGCATTGCCGTCATATCTGTATCTCTTAACTATGATTGTTTGTCTTCAGATCAGCCATCGCTGCATGGTCACTGAACTGCAGCGGTTCCCATTTTTGAGAAAGCGCATGGATGAAGTGATTGGGAACTTCCTGCGAGAAGGTCTTGAACCCTCAGAGAATATGATTGGACACATTATAGAAATGGAGGTGAGATGAAATTTAACTTATATTTTGTGTTTTGTCCGATCTCCTCTTTCTATTGCATGGTAATTTTAATTCGGCTAATTTATAAGGCTAAAATAATTCCACTAGATGACTAGAACAGTGATAAAAGTGGTTGCTGAAATTTGACATCATTAACAGCTGGACTTTACATATGTTTTCAACGGTGATATTGCGGTCTTGACTAATCTGTCCAATGCTCTTTGGTTCTGATTCCTCATCTCATTATCAATTTTTGGTCAAGGTAGAATCAGTCAGCCATTGTCACGGGAGAATATAGGTGTTGTTGATGTTATTTTATTTTTCGTCAACATTCATCTAGGTGGTGTTTTGTTTTATTAATGCCTAGTATTTATTCTTTTTTTTTCTCTTATTTTTACTTGCAATGCTGACATTTTCTGGGGAAATGATAAGTTTCTAATGTTTTTGTTTTGGTGCGCACGTGCATGTGCTCTGCCTACGCTTGCTCATTGGTGATCAAGCTTGGCTTACCTTGTTAGGGCATTGCTGGAAGATGCTCTTTCTCTGGGGAAAAATGATGATCACTTAAAATAACATGCTCCATGTTAATTTTAAATTCTGATGATCAGTCTATTCAAGTAAATTTCACATTCTCTAATTTAAATTTACTTGAATTTTCAGATGGACTACATAAACACTTCCCACCAAAATTTTATTGGTGGAAGCAAGGCATTGGAGATTGCTGTGCAACAGACCAAGTCTTCCAGGGTTCCCCTGCCGGCCAGGCCAAAGGTATTGTACGTAGTGCTGTGCAATCATTCAGATGCTTGTTTCCTATGCCGGTTATGGATGCTTATTTATTCTTTCCATTCTTTACTTTTTCTAAATACAACAACAACAAAGCCTACCTCCGAATCACTTCTAACTTGTGTCTCTTGTCAAAATTGAAATGCATATATTTTGTCTTGCTCTTATGCAGAAACCTCTGGCTTCAGGGTTTTCCTCCATATCTCAAGCTTAGAGTTAATCCCTTCTCTTGACTCAGCCAAAAAGACTATATTATTAGGAAAAAGCATGCACTTAGAGATTTCTTCTTTAATTAGCTCAGTTCATGTAGAACTAGGTTAAACAATTAAGGGCTCAAAGATGATTCCTGACTTCACATTTTCTAAATAAATTAAATTTTTTATTTTGTTATAGGATGGTATGGAATCTGATAAGGGATCAGCCTCTGAAAGAAGTATGAAGTCTCGGGGATTTATTGCAAGGCAAGTAAATGGAGTAGTGGCTGATCAGGTATGTGGTTGTATCTTGTTAAGCTGATGAGAATTTAATCAAAGATCATTTCAATGTTATTATCGTAATGTTATCGCATCAACCTGTTTGATTAATATAAACAAACAAACAGGGTGGTCGTGCTGCATCAGAGCTTGACAAAGTTGCAACCTCTGGTAATTTGTTTCTTCTATTTAATATTCATGTTTTTTTATGCATTTGCTTCTGTACTTTTTATTTGTTTATATGTATGTTTATTTTCTGTCCTATCTTTAATCATGCATGTTTTGGATGTATCAACAAGCATCATTACTAGTCTGAGTTGAAATGTTTAAATTCTTGAAAACTTGATATCTTTTCAGGAAACACCGGTGCAGCAACTTGGGGATCTCATCTATTTTTGGTGGAAGTGATAGCCGTGTGCCTATAAAGGAGATTGCATTGAGTAAACCGCACAATGAACCAGTTAACACTCATAGCATGGAACAATCGTTCTCTATGATCCATCTGAGAGAGGTATGTTGGTGACACATTTATTATCAGCTGAACAATATATTTATTGGTTATATGATTTAGATGCCTC